TGGGCATCCCGTCGTTCGTTGTCATTTCGTCTTGGCGGCATCTTGAATCGTCCCGACAGCTGATACCAACTGATGCAGAAGCGTAGCAGATGAAAGGGGAAGAACACGATAAAACTATCAATCTGATAAATTCAATAATAAGCTGTCCTCATAATAGCGTAGGGTACAGATTTTATAATGTTACAACTTTCCTAAGCCTCCTAAACTTGCCTAACAAGCTAGGCCAAGTTATATATTTAAATACCAAAACAACTTAAATAATTAGAAACTAGATAAAAAGGATAAATAATAAATAAGATGTAAATCAACTAGATACGAAGCCAGTCGAATTTATCCAAGAAAGCTATCGCGGCCTCGTCTCCTTCAAAAACATTGTTTCGTTAGGTTTGTGTATTACTCGTGTATACTATGTAAGAGTGTATTATGATAATTTGTATTAAAAAAAAAAATATGCGCTCACCAGGTAGGGTTGTTGTGCATCAAACATAATTTTAACGAATTTTGATAGTCGGCCAGCCATGAGATTGTACCTATGCATAATTCAACAAAGTGTAAATTCTTAAAAGAATTCTTCAAAAGATAGATTAAACTAATATAGGTTTACAATATGACCAACTGGTTAAACACCCACAAACCTGAAAATGCAACAATACATCACAGTCTACAGCTACTCGGGTGAAACATGAGACTGTTCACCCTCTAAAGCCATCAATATGGATGATCATAACCAGGAAAAGAAGAACAAGAAGAAGCTAAAAAGATACATCATCAAATCAAGATACAAGTTGAAACAACATCTCCAACATAGCAACTGCAAAAGGTCTGACTCATACTCAAAAAAGAGATTCAAGTCAAAATCAGCAAGACTTATTCGGCTTTTCCATCAGAAATTTGAAGAATTATAATTCAACATAAGAGAGTAATAAATTCATAATAATGCTCATTACCCACAGACATTTAGAAATTAAATCTAGAATTAAAACATCCAACACAAACATTCATCCACAAATGAATAATACCAAAAAGAAAAATTTGATATTGAAGAACCCGAGCCAGATTTTTCAAGTTCCCAAAATACAATATCTAAACACGAAAAAAAAAATCGAGGTTCTACCATATAACAATAACATGCAAACCTAGATTTAAAATTGAACGAGTAACCTATACGAATCAAGAGGATCGCTCGTTGCTTTGGAAAACTTACGAATTCACAAACAAAAACTTTCCCAATTACCTTTAAATGACTACAGAAAAAAAAAAAAGATGGACAAATTGAAACTATCAAGTACCTGATTGAGTAAAATTGCAAATTATATTTGCTGCTCTTTTTATACGCGCAACAGATGAGGAGCAAGGCGGACTGATAGAAGAAAAGAGGCGGACTGTTCGAAGAAAAAAGAAAAGATACGGCGGACTAATCGAAGAAAAGAGGCGGACTTCTTTACTCTTTTCTATTTCTTTTCCGTTCTTAGATTTACATTCTACATAGACATTACATAAGCTTTTATGCCACATGTTATTAATATATTTTTTTATATTAACTTCTATTTTTTGTAAAATAACAAAATATATTAAATTACAATGGGTAAATATCATCAAACAATATACCAAAACTCATTTACAAATTTAGATAAGAAATAATTACAAACTACAGATAACAATTTACAATGTAGACAGATTAAATAATTATAAAGCTGATATAGCCATACTGTCGTGTAACGATTCAATACCATCGCGGTTCAGAGATTACCGAGTCGACTTACGCGAGGTCGATTCTGTCCGCAGACTCTTTATGGTATCTCTGGTCAAGGATCCAGGCATCTCTCCCAGTCGACTTCCACATGTCGACTAGCAAAAGTGGATTTCCTCTTGAAAGACGGTCAAACACGTGGGGATCTCCTAACAATTGAATATGACCCAGTCGACTCGAGTTGATACCCGAGTCGACTGAGGAAGTCTTGAAGCTCATAAGATCTCGACTACTCTAGTACACGCCAACATATCGAAGGACAGTTAAGGATAAGAAGGAAGCTACCAAAGATAAGGAAGAATCTAGATGCTGACTAGGAAGTGGACGGAATGCGAACCGACTAGGGTATTTTGGACATTTCCAGTAAGTCGGCCAGGGTATTTTGGGGACTTCAGGTAAATGTTTTGCTTCTATATAAAGGAGCTGAGGTAACTACAAAACCCTAACTCCCATTCATTCTACTTTCCTTTCCATTACTTCTGCTGTTCTCTTAGAGCAGCTCTCTTCACCTCTTTCACATACTGACTTGAGCGTCGGAGGCTCTACGCCGGTAATCCCTCCGGCGTTGAGTTCTTGCAGGTGTTCTTGTGATTCGATAGCAATTCGGAGACCATCAGGACAGATCTGAGCTCGTTCTCATCGGTTCATTCTAGATCCGGGCGATTTTCCAACGGTTCACCCAAGATCCCAGTGCTCACTCAAGGGGAGGCCAGTCACGTGAGGAGCACGAGCGGAGAAGTCAACGGTCGTGAGTCAACCGAGACGCTCCTAAGTCTGGGAAAGCAGCCTGGACCGCTCGAGCTTGGAAAGAGACCGCTGCCCCAAAGTGAGGAGCAAATGTTGACCATAACACGGAGCGAGATGCAGAGGATGATTGCCGAAGCTGTAGCTGCCCAAATCAAACAAACACCAGTCGAGCAACCCAGGGTGGAACAACTCCGAATCGAGCAAGCTAGGATCGAACAACCTCAAAATGAGCAGCAACCCCCTGAACGCGAACAACAGGCACAATCACATGAAAGGCAGAACATGAGGGTATATGAGGAGGAGTCCTCTGTCAGAACCGTTAATCCACAAGCCAAAAACGACACGCTGGAGCAGCTGTTAGCGCAGGTCCGAGACCTGCAGGCTCGGGTGGAAGGAAGAAAAACGGGAAGCTCGAGGGGACACCCTTTTTCACAACATATTCTAGATGTCGACTTGCCTCAGGGGTTCAGGGAGCTCAATATCTGGTATGACGGTTCGACTAAACCCTCTCGACATCTCAGAAGTTTTGAAAACATGGCAGTATTGCACCGTTATAATGACCCCGTTCAGTGTCGAGCGTTCATGACGACCCTGCGAGGACCAGCGCAGGATTAGTTTCATCAATTGCCCCCAGGAGCCATCAGGGACTTTGACGGATTTAGCTCGAGTTTCCTAAACCAATTCGCAAGTGTAAAAGCCCAAGAAAAGTCTTACCCTACTTTGATAGGTATGCAACAGAAAGAAGGGGAATCATTGAGGGACTACGTGGTGAGATACACACGGGCGTGTGTCGACGTCCCCTCGGCCACTGAGGAGATTAAGTCGGGAGGACTCACACGAGGGCTACTCCCGGGACTGTGCAGAAATTCCCTAGCAAAACGACCCGGAAGGACGTTCGATGAAGTATTGGGAAGGTGCGCCAAATACATGAATGTCGAGGAAGCCGAAGCTGACTTTTTACAAGCGGCTAAAGCAAAAGCTGAGTCTCAGGACGAAAAGAAGGATAGAAAACCGGTCTCGACGGTTGAAAGGAAGGGATCCCGAAGTCTGAAAGAGAAGGCCGTTCGAGGGGATAGAGGGCAACCTAATATACCCCTCTGTTAGCCTCGAATGCAAGGATATTGGAAGTAATGGAGAAGGAGATACGCGAAAATGTTGTCAGATGGCCACGAACAAGGAAGGATGGGCCGACAAAATCTAAAAGTAACTTGTATTGTCGATTTCATAAAGACTACGGTCATAACACCGATGAATGTCGGCACCTAAAAAATGAAATCGAGAGACTAATCAAAGCAGGCCATCTGAAGGAATTCGTTTATAAGGATCGAGAACGAACCAGTCGACGAAAGGAGAGAAGCAAAAGCCCTCACAAGAGGGCAAGAACACCCGAGAAGGAGGAGCTCCCCCAGAAAAGAGGAGTGATTCACATGATATTCGGGGGACCAACCGATGGTGATTCAAATCGGGCTAGAAAGGCATATGCTCGAGGGCATCACGGAAAAATCAAAATACAACAGGTCGAGGAAGACGGTCCAGTGATGAATTTCGGACCAGCGGACATGGGAGAGGTCGAGAGATCTCACAACGATGCCTTGATGATCACAGCTCAGATATCGGGCTATGAAGTCCAGAGAATCTTTGTCGACACAGGGAGCGCGGTGAATGTGATTTTTTACAATTGTCTTAAACGGATGGAACTCGACATCGAACTCTCACCTCTGCACACTTCACTTTTTGGATTTAATGACTCGGAAGTCGCACCTCTAGGGGAAACCACGCTCACTGTCGTCCTCGGGGAAGGCGACTTAAGGAAGGTGAAAATGGTACGATTCGTCGTAGTCGACGTCGAGTCGGCTTATAATGTGATTCTGGGAAGGCCAACACTCAACGCATTCCAAGCAGTAGTGTCAACCTATCATATGAAGCTAAAGTTCCCCGTCGGGGATAAGGTAGGGGAAGCCCGAGGAGACCAGAAGCTGTCAAGAACCTGTTATCAGATTGCAGTAAGGACAAACCAACGAGCGGAGGTAAAAGAAGGAAAAAAGCCGGTGTCAAATGAAAAGAGACGAAGGGAGAATGATCTCGAGCCGCATGGGGAATTAATGGAAATTCAAATCGGGGAGAGAGAAGAGCAGACCACTAAAATAGGGCGAGAGTTGGAAGAAGAGTTGCGTCGACAGCTGGTGGGACTGCTGAAAGAATTTAGGGAAATATTTGCTTTTTCCCCTGAAGAGTTAACGGGAATCGATCCCGATGTCATGGAACATAAACTCAATGTCGACCCCCTGAAGAAGCCCGTGAAATAACGACTTAGGCACCATGGCATAGAGATCGACAAAGCCATAGAGGTCGAGGTGGATAAGTTGCTGAAAGCCAAACATGCCAAGGAAATTCAATTCCCAGAATGGATATCAAACACAGTGATGGTAAGAAAAGCGCTAAATAAGTGGCGTATGTGTATTGATTTTCGCGATTTAAATTTAGCTTGCCCAAAGGACCACTACCCCCTGCCGAGAATCGACCAGCTTGTCTACTCTACTGCTGGCTGTCAATTTCTAAGCATGATGGACGTGTCCCAGGGGTACCACCAAATTCCCTTGGCTCCTGAAGATCAAAGCAAAGTTAGTTTCGTGACGAGCAAAGGGACATATTGTTATGCGTTATGCCTTTCGGACTTAAGAACGCAGGGGCAACATACCAAAGGTTGATGGATCGAATGTTCAAATCGCAGATCGGGCAAAATATGGAAGTTTACGTGGACGATATCTTGGTGAAAAGTAGGTCCTCGATCTCGCATGTAGATGACTTAAAGGAAACGTTTACGACATTAAGAACATTTGGAATGAAGCTGAACCCGAGTAAATGTGCCTTTGGAGTAAGGGCAGGACGATTCCTGGGCTATATCGTAACTGAAAGAGGCATCGAAGTGAATAAGGACAAAGTGCAAACCATACTCGACATGACCCCACCAAAGAATGTTAGAGAAGTGCAAGTCCTGACAGGTCGAATTGCAGGCCTAAGTCGATTCATAGCTCGGGCGGCGGAAAGGAGTTTCCCATTCTTCAAGTTACTCAAGAAAAAAGCTTTTCAGTGGGGTGATGAGGCTCAGATGGCATTTGAAAAGTTGAAAGAGTTTTTGAACGAACTACCATTGTTAACAAAGCCGGAGCCGGGCGACGAATTGGTGCTCTATATCTCGGTGGGAATCTTTTCTTTGAGTTCTGTATTACTGCGAGAAGCTGAAGGGGCCCA